GGACCCATGCTGGAGCAGTTCATGAAGAAATGTAGCCCGTGCCAAGGACTCACATCAGAGAAGTTCACGGAGAACTGTCTCCCGTGGGAAAGACCTCACACTGGAGCAGGGGAAGAGTGTGAGGAATCCTACCCCTGAGGAGGAAGGAGCAACTGAAACATGTGATGAACTGACTGCAACCACCATTCCCCATCCCCCTGTGCTGTTAGTGGGGAGGAGGTAGAGAATTCAGGAGTAAAGTTGAGTCCAGGAAGAAGGGAGGGGTGTGGGGGAAGATGTTTTAAGATTTGGGTTTATTTCTCATTACTCTTCTCTGATTTGACTGGTAATAAATTAAACTAATTTCCCCAAGTCGAGTCTGTTTTGCCCATGACAGTAACTGGTGAGTGATCTCCCTCTGTCCTTATCGTGACCCACGAGCCTTTCATTTTCTCTCCCCTGTCCAGCCAAGGAGGAGAACTCACAGAATGGCTGTGGCGGGCACCTGGCGTCTAGCCAAGGTCAACCCACCACAATGTCTTTGATTTAAAAATAGCAAATTTTCAAAACCAAGGGAAGAGATTAACAAAGTCAATTGAACTGGAAAGTGAGGTATTTCAAAAGAAAATAAAACAAACTAGTAAAAAGGTTATTTAACCAAACACGTTAAAAGAGAACAAGCAAAGAAGGACTACGTACAATATGCGCTGAGTTTGAGAACAGTATATCAGTTTATATATTTATAAATATTTCTATTTTATATATTTATATATGTATTATATCATTTTTTTTATCTTAGTTTGAGAACTAAGTATATCTTTACAATAAAGTGAAAACTACCACTTTTTTTTTTACTTTTTTTTTTAATAACAGTGACATACGGTGATTGGGAAACGTCGGACAAGAATGGGCTATGGAATGGGAAATTGAAAATGGAAAACAAAATGGGTTGAAGAGTGCACTGAGAGACTTAAATCCATGTATCTTGCACCAAAGCAACATTAGGTAATGGTTTTGAACAAATTTTAAACAAATGGACAGTTATCTCCAGATATATAAAGTTAAACAGAAAAAAAGATTAGCAGCATCAGTTTACTGCAGATACATGGCACAAGGTATCCAGACTTGCATTATTTAAGTACCTATTTCACTTCCATAATGATGAGAATTCATCTCTGTAGACAAGGACATTACAGTAGCTCTAATCTATCCAAGCATTATATGAAAAATCAGTAGCTAAAATGGAGAATTGGATTAGTGTAAGACTGTAGAGTAACAAAATAGCTAGCTAAATGGGAAATTATACATTTGTACAGAAAAAGAGAAGTATTAATTTATAGGGATACTAGTAAGTTTCTCAGGAATCAGTGTTGGGATTTTTCTGGATTTCATCTTTTAATATATACACTGCATAAAGTAGGTAATTTCTGCAACAGTTGCTGAGAATTGTCAAAGTATAAGAAGATCAGAAAACTCAGAGCAGTAGAAAAGGGATGATATATAACAGGATAAAGTGCAAGGAAATGCATTTTAAAAATACCACCAGAACTTAATACTATTGAACAAGGAATTTATCACTTGAAAAAATAGAATGAGTCATCGACGTGACTTTAAGATGCACCAGGAGAGATTTCTAAGTAGAGAAATTTTACTGTCAGTGTCCCAGAGTTCAGACAGATTTTCAAGTACTGCATAAGGGCAGAGTAACCATATTAAAAAAAAAAGATGTATTGAAACTAGAAAAGGTCCTGAGAAAGACAACCATGATGATTAGAGGAAATGGAGAAAATGTTTATGTAGGAGAAAAAGTTGAGGCAATGTCTGATTTTGTTGACAAATACCAAGGAGGAAAAAGACATATCTAAGTAAATGACAATGACCGCTTTTGGACACATGTATATAAACTAACCATGACTAGACTTAGGATAGGAATTGGAAAACAGTTAAGACAGGTACCAGAAGGACTCAAGCTCTAGAATATTCCTCCAGAGGAAGCTGCAATGACTATAAATAACAAGTTTTAAAATGAGATTTAGTAATTAAATGGAGTTACTTATCTAATTGTCTGGTTTCTTTCTAGCAGGGGGCTAAACTAGACAAACTGAAACTTCCTGGGACTGTGACCTATATGTTATGTTGGCTGTTTCTTTTTTAATAATGGCAAGACAGAAATTGAATTCCTTCTAGAAGAATGGCATAACCTATATAAAGCCATTGAATGCTTGCTGAATTGTTTTCTATCCTGTTCTTTCCACATTATTCAATATGCTTGTCACTTCCAAGTATATTTTACTTTGACTTATTCAGAAAGACTCTATGCCTTTTGCAGTTAATTTGCAGAACAATGCTACCTACATAAAGTAACTCATATTACTTCTCATGGTGTTTTTCCCTCTGCCAATCAGTATGTTGCTCTAATCACCAGCACTGCAAGGTTCTCTCTCCAGCCTTCCCCAGTCTTACCTAATGAAAGGAGTTTTATTTCATCTGTATATCTCAGCCACTCAATATTCTATATCTTCCATGAACAATTAGTTAATATATATAAACTCTATGACAGTATGGTACCTCTCACTGTCAACCTTCTGTCCTGCTCTGATACGACCATTTTATTCCTTTTCTTTCAGTTAACATACTGAAATCAGAAGCAAGTCTTTCAGTTAATGTAGCAATCACTTGCTGTGGTCTCTGCTAATTGTAACCTCAGGCAGTACCACACACCTCACCTTTTGAGTGCTTACTTTCCTCAATAACTCTACAATAAGCATCTGATTAACGGTTCTTGAACCTTGATCTGAAAAAGTTAAGGTGCTGTGAATACAGTAGTAGAAACAGTGCAAGTGATGGAGACATACATAGCTGTCAATTTGTCTGTCTAACATTTAGATATTATTTACAGCATAGAAGACAGGTACTCAGAATGCTACATGGCATTTAGTTGGATTCTAGTAATTTTGAGCTTCATTTTCTAAACATAGGTTTTATCTCTGTAATGACATGTAAAAGGATGAAAAAATACCATCAAGACTTTTCACCTGGAGCAGTTGTAAAACATGTGAAGGAAGATGCCAAAGATGCGGAGATGGAAGGAAGAACAGCAGAAACAAGGCCACCATAGGAAATAACACACAGCTATTTGATGTGAAATATATTAGACAATATATGTTGCTTTAGGGTTGTAGGCGAGTTTATTACATAGAATACACTACTTCAAACAGGAAAGTATCAGTTATTTATGGGAAAATATATCTGTCACCTGACTCCTAAAAAAAATTCAAGAGTGCTTCTAGGTTTCCTACCTGTACTGCAAAACCCTTTCGCCCCAGATCCAACTTCTACTTGCCCTCTATGTGCCTTCTGTCCCACAGGGAGACAATCAAAGCCTCTGGGCCAAAAGGGATTTGTGTTAGCCTTTAATTATGTCCCCAGTCTGGATAACCCAAGTATCACAATACAGGGCTTATCGCAGCACATACATGCCAGTTAGTCTAGACACAGCCCTCCAAGAGTACAGAACGGCCAAATTCGCATTCTCTAACTCAAAAATAGCAGCTTCCTTCTTCAGGTACATCTCTGACTTCATTGATATTGAAGCAAGGTACTATGCTGAAATATCACAATAGATATTAAGTATTTTCCAATTTTATATTTAAAATCATTTACTGAATATTGTAAACCATATATAAGTGCTTACTACACACACATAATGTTAAAAAATGCTGTAAACAAGGATCCAAAATAATTCTAATAACAGATTGAAAGATCCTGAAACATATTACATTCTTGGATTCTCATAATACAACATATTTACAAAAAATAAAGCAAGCTAAGAAGACACGGACCACATTTAAAATACAGAAGTTAAAGGAGAACACACAACTAATATGGCAAGAGCAGTCAGGAAGTTCGTTGACACACAGACTCCTTTCTCAGTTCCTGTGGAATCCCAGCGGCAATAAATACGCTTCTTTTCTAGTATCCTCTGGGTAAAAGAGACAAACTTCATTTGGAGTCTGGATGATCCTATATACAGACTGAAAGATCTCTACTCACAAATATTCTGAAGTTGGCCTTTAAGAACTGAAATAGCAATTTGATAATGTTAATCTATATAAAATTAACATGACTGCTGTTTCCTACTTTTCTGTATTACAGCACTCCAATAGTATTTCGTACTGTTCATTTCAAATAAAACATGTCCATTGATTTTGTTCTGGAAAAGGCATTTCTACGGAAAGACAATTCTCAAAATCTTTCTCAAATGTCACAAAATATAGGACTCTTATCTTAGAACTCAGGCAGGTATTTCAAATTGCAGTTCTCAGTTCTCACAAACAGTAGTGGTTTCTCTACAAACGAGATGATCGGTATATAAGTTACTATCTCCGAACATATAACATTTCAGGGAAAAACTGTTTTTTAACCAAGAAATCACTGTCTTAGAAAAACAGCTTTTCCTCCTATGCTGGTTCTCATAAAAATCTAAGTAATTATCTGTATTTCAACAATTACATACAATTGTGATTTATATTTATCCAGGTCTGGGCTGTATTCACACTAGGAGTATTATTGCGTGTGGCATTTAGACGTTTATTTTGTGATTATTTTTTTTCTGAAGATATTTTCACTAATTTGATGCTATAGAAATTCCAAGATATCTGTTACAAGTCTTTTGTATCTTTACTGTTTCCATTGTCCAAGGTACAAAAGCAAACTTCTTCGTCTTCTTCTTCCTCTTCTGCAGGAAAGGCATTTTCATCTTTCAGATTTTTAGAGGCATTATGTTCAATGTTATTTAAAGAAGTGTCACACTTCAGAAATATTTCAGAATGACAGGTTTCTGCTGGATCTGCCAACATAGGAGAAAAATTTTCTCCAGTAATATGAATTAGGCTTATTCTTAGAGTTTGGCATATTTTTGGCTTTCTATTGGATAATTCACTATTTGTGCCTATCACAAGATCACTGAGTATGTGTTTGAATGTATTATTTTGACAATTGCTGACTTCCATGGATTTTACGTTCATATCCTCTATAACATGTAACTTCCCTAAACTGATTGTGTCTTTCAGAGTTGAAGATGCAAGTATTCCAAAGTTACTAATAAAATCTAAGGTGTTATTAGCATAAAACCTATTAAAAATATTATTGGCAATCTTATTGATACAGTTGTTCTTCAGAGTCACATGATTATTTTCATCTGTTACTAAATCTTCACCTGACCATTGTAAATGTTCACTCTTTTTGGCCAAGAAACACGGACCCAGCTGGTTCTCAATATCAGATGCCTTTTGGTAAGCATATCCTCTCTGTTGCTCATTAATTGGTGTTACTGTCACCATCAGTATTGGACAATGTTGGCCACATATAGCATGGAGTTTATCCAAAGAATCTTCTTCCCGAAGAGCACTCCTGTTAGCGTTGCTAACATCAGTTGGCTGAGATTGTACGGGTTCATCATTTAAAGGCTGTTCCAATGGATGCACCTTGTTATCAGGCAATCTAAATTCTACAGATGTAAAGGCTGGAAAATTGGTATCAGCCTGTGTGGAAAGCTGTGTGGAAGTAGAACCTACCATGACTGATGGTTTGATCTTTTCTTTGTTTTCTGCAGGATGTGAAGTGATCTTACCATTGCGGCTAGGTTTGCTTTTTGTGCTTAAGTCATCTTGAAAGGGGTCTGAATCACTATTATGAGGTATATTGAAGTAGTTGCAAAAATTTTCAGAGGGTTTAGCCAAGTCTTCAAGCTCTGAAGAAGAGATTTCATTGAGGACTGGGTACTGATTCAGGTTGCCAAAGTGTGAGTATGGAACATCATCACTGTTAGTATCAAGGACTGTGTCTGTTGATGTTGTATCCAAATTACCATACATTCCAATCCGTTCAGGTGGTGATCTTCTTATCAAATGATTTTCTTTGAGAAGCCATTTGCCTTTATCTATCAATATTCCTTCATCTTCATTAGCATGTGCACAAGTTTGATAATGTTGCTTTGGAGATTTCCCTGAACAGTCATTAGTATGACTTGTCTCTTCTCTGTTAAGGGTAGGCTGTGGTGTTGGCAAAGAAGTATTTTCTCTTCTCAATATAGTGTCATCTTCATTTATGTTTACTGGAAACTCTTGTGATGGTAGTGAAGAATGTGACAATTTCTCTGCAGAACAAGACCTAGATTCTTGAAAAAAAGAAATGTTTTTTTTCACCACTACAGAGTGAAATTCTTCAGTATCTTTTTGAAGTGTGTTTGACATATAAGGAAATCCTTTGTGAAAGTCAGGCTTAAATGAAGCTTCCGTCTTGCCATAAAGTCGTTCAATAGTTCTTTTTACATAGCCAGTATTGTAATGCTTTTCAAGTACTGCTTCCTCCCCGCTTTCATTGGTCAAATCACCAGATGCTCTAAAGTTATAATCACTCTCTTCAGTATCTGGTCTGTAATCTGACCAGTCTGAAGTAGCAGGACTTTTTAAGCATTTTTTTAATTCAGAAGTGTCTGAACACATTTCATTCTCCAGTTCTTCTACTTGCAATTTCTGTTCTCCGCTCATGTCACATTCGGTAATTTGCTTTGATTCATAACAAAATGATAATGGAGAGACTGTAGATAACCTCTCAGAGGTTTCCTCACAGGTTTCTGCATCTTCCTTGTCTTCCTGTACAGAATAATCATCATTGTTATATTCTATAGAGGTCTCAGCAGCTAATTTATGTTGGTTATTTGTTTCTTTGTCATTACCTGCTGACTTTGGATCAACACTCTCATCTTCACTATTATCAGTAGTAACATGTATAATATCTTTTTCATCTTCTAACTCAGAAGTATCCTGATCTAAAATATGATTTTTATCATTAGATGTCACACTATGAACTGTTGAGTTAGGTTCTACTGAAGTTTCTGACTCTTCATTAGTGAATGATGTTTCAGTGGTTTTGTCATGAGATTTTTTATATAGGCTCTCAGGCATTTCTTCATTTCTTTCAGGTGGCTCTATAGCTGATGCAAGGCTACAGGTATTTGAATTAGTATTGGCATATTGACCATCTAGCTGTGTTTTGGGAGCACTCAGGTCTAAAGTCTCTGTTTCTCTACAAAGATCTTTCTGTATATCAAAACAGCATTCTAATTCACCAGTGAATTTTAGAGCTTCTTCAGAATTTACACTGTCCTTTGAAATACAAGGCTCAACTGATCTTTCATTTTCATGCAAATGTATACCATTATGAATTTCAGATACAGGCATATTCATATTCTCATGGCAATATGTAGAGTCCTGCTTTTTGAGTTCCCTCTCAAAGTGTAGTAAGTTATTTTCTGTTGATTGTTGCATATGTGAGAAGGCAGCCTTCAGTTCATCAACTTTTTCCATGACCGTAGTTTGTTTCAGAAATTGTAACTGTGTAAATATTTCAGAACAGCTACAGGTAGTTTTTTGCATATCATCTTTGATTGCCCCAACCAAACTCTCTCTCAGATTCAGTACCAGCAGCCAAGCTAGGAGAACATTGGAGGAAGAACCAAAAGCTGAAAGAGAAAGATCTGAAAGGTTGCAAGCTTTCCCTATACACCCACTGTGTTCTTTCTGGAGACCAAGCAAAGTTGATTGTAGTTCACGCAGCAACATGCTAGACATGCAATTGTTCTGAACATCAATTCCCATTTTCTCATTGACAGTTGCACAATCAACTTGAACAGCAACTTCAGATTTTTTTCTCTGACATAGGTCGGTATCTTGAATATCAACTTTTGACGTCTTTTTATCATTGTCATGTGTTTTGTGAAACAAGTGTAGCTTACCATCATGATGAAATTCGGACTTCAGTGAATACCTGGCTTCTTCTATTATAGTTGTATTAGCATGAATGAAAGAGTCAGTTTGGTTTTCACCCGAATCCTTGGCTGATTCTTTTAAAGTTCCCCGTTCACAAATAGGCTTTAATGTTTTTTTGGTTAGATTGTGTTCAATCAGATGGTTTTTTCCAGTCACATGAAATTTATTTGTGATAAATCTTGTTTCTTTATCTATAGAAGCATCAGTATTTTCTTTAGGAAAAAGACAGACATTGCTATTCTCTACATTCTCTTCTGTTTTATTTATAGGGGGTAAGACAGAATTTGGTGACAAGTTTTTAAGCCAAGTTTGGACATAGTTTTCAAGTGCATGCTCAACAACCTCCTCTTGAAAATCCTCCTGTTTTAAAGCCTCTAGTGTAATGGCTCTCTCTAACATATTTAACTTATTTGAACCTTTACTTAGATTTTTCTTCATTCCCTTTTGCTTTTTCTCTTTCTTTGATGAGATATTTTCCAAAATACTCCTTTCCTTTCCTTTTTCAAAGTTAAGATTCTTTGGCACTTCTGACAATGGCTTTGAAATCACTGATGAGTAAGGTATCTGTTCGAAAGAATTGGTTGTGAGAGGTGTGCCTTCTTTCTCGGTACTCAGTGTATCCTGACTGTGTTCAGACTCATTGTTTGAATCAGCTAGCATTAGACCATCTTCACTCTTTGCAGATGAAATGATACTTTTTTTTTTACCTGACTTCAATTTTACCTTGGTCAACTTGTTACTACTTCTTGGTTTTTTATTAGATGATAGCCCATTTTGTTCCACTGACTCCTGGTGATAGAACTCATCTTCAGGACATATGCTTTTGTCTGAATTCACAGACCCATCATTGTTTTTTACAAAAAACTCCGCTCCTTTTTTCTGAGGCATTTCAGAATAAATATCCGTAGCCTCTGTTGTGGAATCCTGTGTGGTTTTGCTTGCGATATGCACTCCCTCACTTTTAATTATCCCTGAAATTTCATTATCATTCTGATTTTCATATGTACCTTGCTCTAGCAAGTTAGAGGATTTTCTCTTCTTCTTTTTGGTGAAGGACGAAGAAAATTTGCTGTCATCAATGAGATGTGTTGCCATCACAGATTCAGTCCTGACATTGATTTGATTCTCACTTTCAGCAACAGTAGGAAAGAATCCAGTTGTTGGATGTATTTGCTCAGTAGGAGCTTTACTACATGGAGGTACTACCATTTTCATCTCTCTATGTCTGGGACAGGCTGAATGCACTGAATCTTGAGAAATAGGTAATAAATCAGCAGCTTTGCATTTTGTTTCTTCTTTTGACTGACATAATTCTGAATATCTAATGAAAGAACTCAGTGATCTTTTTATTTGTTTAATACCACATGACTCATGGATGTGGTCTGCTGAACCTGGCCTGGCCACGGGGTAAATTTTTGACGATGGTGTGAAACCACTGATGTTCGCTTTGCAGGTTGATACTAAACTATTATATGCACAGTGTTCCACAACTGATTTCTCTATTATATTCTGTATCGATTCATCCTCATCAGATACTTCGAATGTCTTCCTATTTGTAGTTTCTATTAAATCATTACTTTTGTGACTTACTTTAAAAAACATTTCTTCTTTTATATTCTCTGAAGAAAGCTTTAATAAATCATTGTCACTCATCTCACTGATCTTTGGATTACTGACACTTGATTTTTTGGTGCTTGAATGAGCTACCATGCAATATTCAGATTTATTTTCTCCATCCTGTGTTTCCTCACTGTAGGAAAATTGTCCTATTGTCTTCTCCTGAACCTCTTTCTCAGATACCAAGGTGACACTTTCAACTACTGCTTTCTTTTGTCTAACACGCCTTGGCCCAGGCGTGGGAGGCCTGTAAAAGCGAGGCTTGACATTATCCTCAGGGTCATTGCTTACGTCTAGGTCTGTAGAACTGTTCTTCTTACAGCTATTACAACCAGCAGTTTTTAAATCAGACTCTGATTCTTTGTCTGACACTTCTGCATTGAATTGCTCTAACGAGTCTCCCTCTTCTTTACTGTAGCTCCTCAAAAATGGAGCACCTTCTCGTTTTATATGTTCTGATTCATTCACATTGGATAAGCAGTCCTCCACATGTGTTGCAGAATTGCAAATGGTGGTATTTTTGTCATCAGAAAGGCCAGCACGACTTACAGTGGTTGTCCACTTAATGGTTTCTTTCTCTTTAATTTTGAATCGAACCTTCATTTCCACTGTGATACTGCCATCTTGATTAAGGTGAACAGATTTCTCTATGTCATCTTCATACTGTGCCACACATAATTCTTCACCAGTAACTGACTGATTTCCTTCTATACCATTACGACTGTCAGGAACATAGGAAGAATCTGAGTTGTTGTCATTTGAGTTATCATTGCTGGACCCTTTGTCAGAAGAAACTGAGAATATCTGAGATCTTGAGCTAGAGCCCATTTCAGCTCTCGCTACCAATAATTACATTGAGAGAGCCCAAATTCATTCAGTAGGTGGAAAGTAGAGCAGACAAATATCATGCACAAGGATCCAGATGGTGAGACAGCAGACAGGCAGCAAAGGAAAAGAAAAGAAGAAAGGAGAAAAATCAGTACAAAATAAGCTAATTAGGTGTGTTTATTTTATCAGAGTATTAGGAAGCAAAGAGAAAAGCATAGTTAATCTCACTGTTGATTTTAAGTTGTTAGAGAGAGAAATATAACCAATTTTTAATAAAGAATAAAGCATTTAACTACTTTTCCTCATAATTTTATTTTGCAATAAGTTCTTTCTAGTGCCAGAGCTGTAGTCTTATTTGAAGTTCCAATAAATGCTCTCATTTTATACTTAGCTGGGAGCTGAGGTTGCCTTGAACCTTTCAAGGGATTCACAGGCCCTTGCTTGTTTGGGCTTCAAGCTACCAACTTTACTTCTTCATGCCTCAGCAATCATTAACATATCATTACCTATTAGTTCTTATAGTTAGTACTAAAATGTGTCAGTCAAGGTGAACATATATCTCCCTGGGGTTAATCCAACAATCTAAAGCATATGAGTGATTACTGTGAGTGGTGTCACTGACATGTGAATAAAGGGTTCAGATCCAAGTGCCTGGACTGACCTTCTACAGAGAAGTAAAGATTGAAGCACTCGAACTTCTTATAAAATTTGAATTTAAATCACGACATTTTGAGATGCATTTTATGCTACAGTACTGTAGACAATGGTGCAAAACTCAGTAAAATCAATGAGAATACTTCCAGACTTCAATGAATTTTGAGTATGGCCCAATATGTGTTTGCATACACATTCAATATTCCCAAAATATGTTTTGAACACTTTGTAATAACTTGGATTTTAAAAAATTATGTCTTTTCTTTCTCTAACAGTTGTCACTGAAGAGGCAAGAGATAAAATAACATGAGATAAAAATAAAGTTTTGCTGTCTTCCAAGATGTTCTGCATGTTCAAGGGAAACAATGCGTGTATATCCACACAAAGACATCCACAACTACTACTGATACCTAAATGTATAGGAGCCACCATTTAATAGAAAGTTTTCACTTGCAGGAAGGTATTTTAACATGTGTAATATTAACTTAACTACAATGCTTGAATTTAAGCTTTTTGGTTTTTTTGCTCAAGTGAGTCACAAAGGTCTCATATCAAGACTTTCACAATTAACGCATTACTATTATAGATAAGTGTCTATAATTTCAGGCAGAGTGCCTTACAAGTTTCCCAAGCATATGCTTTTACTATGAACTGAATCAGAAGTAAAAGTTTGTACTAACTCGTCTAACACAGACCAGACCTTATGCTTCCCAAAGTAAAAATCTCACCGTCTCTGTCTCAGGAAATGAAATTGCACCAAAGTGCCAGAAATTTGATTTTTCAGGCTCTCCCATCATCAATGATGTCTCCTACATAGAATGCTTTTGAATTTCTCAGGTTAAAGACAAAAAGAGGGTTGTTTTTTCACTCTCTTTCTATATTTGTTGTTAACTAACGATTAGAAGAGGGAGCTTATCAGATTCTCAGCTACTCACATTTTCTACCACCACAAGACTCAAATCTCTGGCTGAAAGCAAAATTTGGATAGGATTTTTTGTTTCTGTAGAACTTTCATTCTCAAAATGTTCCTATTCATTCTCTCTTGACTCATAAATTATGCTCTGGAAACAGATCTCAAGCTGTGCAAGTCAAAGAACAGGAAAGTTGAGAAAAACTAAAATGAGTATTTAGTGGGGAAAGAATGAACTGCAAGGGATGTGGAAGAAACTCCTTCACGTAAACGGAAGCCAAGTGTCTTATGTATCAATGTGCTTCATGTTACAGTCAAGATTACCATGGAAAGTCTCAGTACAGAAACAATTACGGTATTCTCTGGGCTCTCCAGTACAGCATGCAGCTGCATCAAGAGTACAAGGTATCTCCGAATTAAACAAGTTTCCTCCTACATGGTTTCCTCTGCCCTATGGGATGCTCTAAAGCCAAGGATTCCCACACAACCTAAAGCTCTGGTACCTCAGCATTTTGTTGCCCTCAACCTCAGGCTATTCAACTAGCCTGGCTTCTCTCCAACAGCTCCTCATGTTCTTGATCATCCACTGGCCACTTCACACTCTTACTGACCTTGTCAGTGGCACAACTCCATGAGCAATCAAAGTGAAAGTACATATTTGTGTATCTTGTTCCAAACTTAACGAAAAAACATACATCACAGCCATGAGAATATAGGAAAGGATGACACTCTATTTCAGCAAAAGCAGTTTCAAAAACATGATGAATTTATGAGTGGATGGGTACTATAACGTTTTTACTGTTTATGTGGAGCATGACACATGAGAAAAAGTGAAAATCATGACAATGACAAATCATGACAATGACAAATCAAACCTTGCTAACATAGCTTCTAAAAACTGAGTAAAAGTTTTGCTCGAGAAATTCAGTCAGTTAAGAGCCTGAAGTAGCCTGTGATTTCTCTTTTACCACTGCTATTATTAACTGTGACACCAGAAAATTTATAACAATGACAATCAAGTGTATTAAAATAAAATATACTTATAGGTTTGTATCCATGTTCTAAATAAGTCTGTTTGAAAAAAAATATGCATACTAGCTGAGCAGATAGCAGAAACTTACATTTTTAAAAGAACATTAGCACTTTGATCTTTCTTATGCTTGAAGAGAAGTCAGTGCAGATATAAACAGTTTCAACTGGCATTTTTAAATATCCTTGATCCTAGTATGATTTAGGTTTATGTCTTATGCTGAGAGAGATAAACCAATTAATAAAATACAAATTAATTCAAAGAACTTACTATTTTCACTTTCTGACTTGGCATTTGCTTTTGGGTATACACGATTTGCAATTCCAAGCAATTTAGTAGGCCGTGAATACCCAAGAGAATCATAATTGCTTGGTTTAAAAGGCTCTCTCCCTGCTGCAACTACAGCTCCAGAGCACAATATCAGGGCCTGAAGATTAGGAACCTGGGGGGAAAAAAAAAGTAACATTAAATTCTCTGCCTTAGTAACCACAAAAAATAATGTAAGAGATTTAGCCTTTTCATGCTTTAATATCTTCACTTCTTAGTCTCTACATTAGTTTACAGTAGGCTATTAAATATGTATCACAGCATGGAATTAGTTTTTCAATTCCTATAAGACAAGTCCTATCTCTGTGAGGGTATGTGTATGTCTTGTTATATATCAGAAAAAGACTTCAAGAAGCAGCTTGGATCTAGATCAAAATTTTCTTATAATTTAAGTGTTTGCATATGTAATTTTGTTTCATCATTGCACAGTGACTGTTCATAGCCATGAAATAACAATATGCATTTGAAGTTAGGTATACATATGAACATGTATTTGTAGGAAGAAAGGGGAAATTCCAAATACACCACAAGTACTTGACCTGTGCTGCCACAGAGGAATAGGACAGGATCACAGAACAATATGTGTTGGAAGAGACCTCTGGAGGTCATGTAAGTCTAACCTACCACTCAGAGCAGTCTGACTGGATCAAGGTGCTCAGAGCCTTGTCTAACGGTTTTGAATTTATGTTCAAAAATATATTGCAAGATAAAACTTACAAACTGTACTTGACTGACTTACAGGTGATGTGGACATTTTCACAACCTAATACAGAATTTCACCAAATGGAGGGTAAACACAAGATTCCCTTTAAACTCTTGGAGCTCTGCATGGAATTCTCTTTCTAGACACCTGTTAGGTATAATTACAAGTGCTTTTCTGTGGTTAAACAACACATAGATAAACATTAAGTGAGATAAAATTATATGAAACAGCATGTGAGATGAATATCAGGATTATTAGTGCTGCATCATCTGGGTTTAGAGGTACAGACACCCACTGGTTTGAAAACTATAACAGACAATCAAGTGTCATAGTTCCAAGTTATCAATGGCAAACCACTCTGCATTTACATAATGATAAAATTTGTGCGTCTATTAGATGCTACTTATCATATTTTTAAAACATTAAAAATCAATGATAAATAGCATTAAGACTAAAGGAAATTTCTATGTAAATGAGTAAAAATACAGAATTGAGAGCATGCCTGAAAGAGGCCTGAGTAAGAAAAAGTGTTTTTTCACGATGACATAAAATAAAATATTCTCACTTGCTTCTTTCTGATTGCAAGATCTCAGTATATTTCCTCCAAGCTAGTAGCCTTTCCAAAGGGGAAAAGTCACAGAAAGGCAATGGTTGAAATTCAGCACATCAGGCCTTACATCAGGCCAGTGTCCCAAGCTTGTAATTGATAAAATCGCCTTTTTAATTAAAAATAATCTAGAAGTAATCATAGAAAAATTGCCAGGACTCATCTTTATTCTCACCTTTCTGCCATCAGTGGTATACAGTTTCACAACCGGATATTGCATTAACTCGCTCATATAATCCAGAAAGGCCTCGAAGGTTTGCGTGTTTTTCTTTCCCAGAACTATGGTGCGCCTGAGTCTTACATCCCCATTTTTGAAAACAAGCATCTTTTTGGGAGTTGTTATTTTGCTTTCTCGATGACCAAATCCATCTTCATTCTCCCTTGCTAATTGCACAGCTCGACGAGCGCTGACAGGTCTACTGATCTGCCAGGGCAGTGGCTTTTTGCTAGCCTGTTCCAGGTTGATGGGTTTCATTTTCCTCTGATGGGAGCAAATATAGGATTTTCCATCTTCAAGATCCTCCAAATTGGTGATGCTGTGCCTCCCTTTCGGTGTGCTAATATTCCTTACTCCAAAGGGTAATGGGACCCGTTTGGATAAACTATCCAGCAAGGCATCAAATGTTTTGTAAGACCGGGTATTAATGACCATTTTGATCCCATTAAACTGAGGATCTCCACTTTTATAGAAACAGATCCGTTTTGCCACAACAGGTTCAGTAACATTGAAATGGCGCGTGGATAAACTCTGTTCACTCTCGGAGGAGTTTGGCTGATTCACTGAGTAACTAGTGGAAGGTGTTTCACTCATTTTGACAGCAATCTGGAAGAAAGAGGAGACATGTAAAACTTTCGTTATGTCTAGTAATAATAAGGTCTTCATTTTGAATGGTGCAGAAAGAGAACTTATAAGAAACCAACAGCAGCAAGCTGTGCCAAAAATCATTGGATTTAAATGCATCCAAGCTGTTATCTCTAAATTCCACACAGACTCCAGCACTGTTGGATTAAGTTGGTATAGCTCTACTTGCAAATATTCCCGAAATTCTCCAATGTAATTCCAAATCTATTATCATTTTGGTACAAGAGACCTTTCCTTAGAAGAAGGTACTTTGTCAGTCCAGAATGCTAATTAAATGTTTTCTTTCTTGAGGATGAAGCTAATGACAACATTTCATATTTAAGATACTAGTAAAATCCTTACTAGGAGGGAGCAATTTGTGTCTAAGCATGAGCCATATTCAGTCCAAAATAACAAAACTGAAAGACAATACAATTCATTCTGATCTCATGTGCTAGTTTTATACCAGGGAAAATCCATTGGAACTAGAGAAAAAGCTCCTGATTTACTACACTGTAAAATATACCAGAATAAGATTCAAAACACGTTTTAAGTTTTGAGTTAAGTTGCATCATAAATTGCCAGATCATTTGTTTTTCTATTATATGTTTTATATTTCATGATACATAAATCACTACAATATTTGCATTTTTATACTGAGGAAAAAACTACTGATCAAATAAGACTTTTTGTAGTAAGAGAAAGTCTTTAAATCCTGTATAAAGACACAAAAATTTCAGGTATTCTTCAGCAGAAGTAGCCTTTAAATTGAAAAATTTAAATATTGGTCTTTTAAACAACAGACTATTTCTGCCCATTATATTAATAGTCTTCATGCTTGAAAATAGAGCATTCTTACTACAATCTTTCCATTTCAATTCAATCTACATACAGGTACTGTAAAGACTTAACCCTTTAAATGAATAAGATTACATTATCTTCATGATTGGCTTGCTTTGACTGGAACACAGGGTAGAAATGGCTAGTTAACTAATCAGTCTCAAGGAAGTAGTTTTCGTAGAGTTGTCCTGAAAAAATGCATAGCAGTCTCAGGGAATATGTTTGTCATCAACATAATATAAACAAAATTCTTTGACAATGTCACCTTCATTTCTGAAACTGATGAGAAAATGTTATTTTTCAAGACAGTCAAGGTTCAAATAAATTCAGACTTGACAAGATTTTATCTTACTGCGTTCTTACAGCTTCTCCAATAATGCACTGTTTTCAGCTTGGGTGTTTTGACTTCCGTATGGGCTAATAACTTTTTTAATGTTTGTTATTTTGAACAACAATCAGAGTACAAGAAGAAAAGTTTCCTTTTAATACACTGTTTATGCTATAAATTGCACTAAGTGCTAAAACTGAAAAACAAACAAACAGGTCTGCACTAGAATGATATACACACAAAGATTGATTTAGGTAATCACAATTCCATTTAAAATTAAAAAATAAATATAATTTTTTAAAAAATTACTACAAGTATTTGATTAAGGAATACGCAGGAAGAAATTTTCAAGCTTGACTGCAGCAACTTATACAACCCAGTCCATGATGGCTACTGAAATGGCTTACTTTCTGTTGTAGGGAGGAGCTCCACATCAGCTGAAATCACCGAAAGCTATAGTTGCTCATCTTTTTTGATACATCTATTCATTAGCTGCCTAGATTTTCATTACACTTCTAAACTGAGAGTTGACAACAGGTGAGTTAAGACTAGAGGCACAATTTGAACCAGCCTTTTTATGCTTCATGCGTCATTCTGTTTATACTGATAATCCTAGAGGAAATCCATAAGGACATTTTTATTGCCAGCTGCAACACAAACTTTCCTACTGTCTTCGCAGAGCAAATAATGTACCACTCCAATGAAAGCAGCAATGACAGTAGTAAAGTTCTTTAGTGAACCAAATGTCATGTTACCCCATTTAACTGGCCAGGAAGACCTGAGCTCTCTAACAGAGTCCAGTCCAGGATCTCTGGGGAAGGGGAGGAAACTGTTAAGTCATCATCAATAATGGCCAGAGACAGAAATGAACGGACATAGCTCCTCAGCTAGTCTGTACTACAACTTCTCACCCTTCAAGAAAATGGAGTGGAATTTCATCTAACTGTATGATTATTCACTCTTGCAAGAAATAAAATACGTAGATTTTACCATGAGACTGCTGATAATAATCACTTTTGAATTAGCCTCTCAGAAGTTGCTCTGGATCTTTGTACTTGTGTAAAACATACAGTTATGTAAGCATCAACATTTGGAAGACAAATACAATATATTTTACAAACAGATAATTATTAAACCGAATCTTGACTCTGTGGAAGTAACAAAGTCCAAAACAAACAGAGTACACATTTAAATAAAAAATACAATATTCGTTGTAAACATTGAATTCAAGAAAATAAGTAAGAAAACTAAGTTTTCCTTAGCAAAACATAAAATGAATGATAAAACAGAGTTTTGGCAGAGAGCTGACGGTTGCATAGCACACCATGAATTAATATTTTCTAGTATTAATTTTAATAGTGGAAATTGCTTGTGCATCTTTCAGATACCTTATAATTGTATCTTGCAAATAGCAAACATTTCAACAAATGAATAATCAACGTATTATAGAAGTTACTATTTCATACTACAGGTGATCACACTGTAACAGCTTCATTTCATCTTAAACATAGTATTAATTTTCATACTTAAATTATTTTATTCTAAAATTAAGAAACAGCTGATACTACATGATACAGAATGTCTGTTCAGATATTTTGATACTTACAATGTTAAGAATTATATTCCTCAAGAAAATCAAACAGAATTCAGAATTTAATCCCTTTGCCTGCATTCTCATAAACAAAATCACTCATTCAAAGTTTATGCACAAATCTGCTAAATTTTATAAAGACACAAAGTAGAACACTTTGTTCTAAATATATAAGAATATGTCTAATGCCATATAGCTGGCAAGTATTGCTTGTAATTTCATCATACCCACCTACAGTCACATCCGATGTAAATAAAAGAGTAGTTAGCTTGTTTCCAGAGACTTCTAAATTGTACATGTTATTGTCTATGCCATATGAAATGAACATCCTTAGTCTTATTCCAAGTGTGCTCAGCTAGAAAAAACATCGTAATCCATTTGCTTAATCTCAGCTAATGTTAATCACCAGACTAGGTTCACCTCAGGTAGCCATTGTTCAGAGTGTCTAACACCTCATTCAGCAAGTCCTCTTATATTATTTTTAAACTCTATTTACCTTTTAAATATTTCATTTATATAATTTTCTGTTTACTTAGGTTGCTCAAGAGACTCACAGAACCACATAAAATAAAAATGTGGGTGGGGAAAATAGGTCATCTAATCTGTCTTCTTATCAGTGTAGGGTTATCCTCCAAACTAAATTCTTTGGTGATGTAAATTTTAAATATGTTAAAATGAGGCTTCTACCACTCACCTTCTGAGACTATTTATTAACTATCTCCTGGCATTAATTCTTCCTTTTGTTCAATCATTTGATCAAGATGATCCTTTTTATGCTAAAGAGTCTCCGATGTTTTCTCTATTCACATATCACAATGAAAACAGTTCCACAGTTTCTTTCACAACACTCAATAAAACATGACAGTCTGAAGGAGTTTTTTTTTATCCATGAGGCATTCTTCATTTCAACATATTGGAAAAAGGGCAATGCAATGATTATTAATGTGTGTGAATATATTTTATGAAGGGACAGGAGGATTATGTCTAACTGTATCTTAATTATACCACAGAATGTGGTTTTTTTTTTCTTTTTCCAGTGGAAATACTATGACCCTGGCTGGTAACTGTTCCATCTAATTGCTACCAGATGTATAATCTGATTTGGAGCTTCTTTTCTTAATCAGGATTACAGCTGTAATCTTAAAACCAGCTATGTAGAACGGTAACAAAAACACTGCTCAGTAGACACTACCACTGCATGCCATAATGAGTTTTTAACTATTTTACTTAGTAGAGAATTAAAACATTTATAGAAGTTTAAAATACCACTTCAGTTCCACTTTCATAAGCACAGACATTAAATGATAATTTTGCTATAAACATTGCTTTCTAAAATATTATATTAATAGAATTACTTAGATCCTTAATCCATCTTAGCTAATATAGTTCTTATATTCCAGCCAGTATTCTGTCATTTGCACTCGTTAAGCACATGAACAAGTGCAAATTCTAGGTGTTATTCTGATGTCTTATAACTTAACCACCTATACAGGAAGTTTTATAGATTGGGTTTTCTATTAAGTGTAGTATTTAAAATACCATTGCTACCTTCATTAGATTTCCAGTGCGCGCAAAGCCACTTTTGATAACCAATTAATCCATCCGTAGCTTCTACGTACCACTGGAATTTGAGACCCAAGAGATAAAAATTCTGGGACCTGGTGAAGATGATAAACAAGTATCACCATTTGATGGTGTGAATGCCTCTTAATTCTCTAAGACTTGAAAAGGCTTACAAAGGTTCTGTCCAGACATATGTAACTTAAAACCTCCACTGCCTTCCTTCTTGTACTACAAATACTCCATACATTCTGAAAAGACAGAAGAAATCATCAACTTTATAGTAAAAATAGCATCAATAAGAACTATATTTAATTCAGATTTAAAGCTAACAAGCCACAAAAAATTATCACAGTCCTATAGCAATCAATATCGATACAAAAACACTTTTCATCCATTCACATGGGCAGCTTGACTGACATCCATGGAACTATTAAAATAATGTGATAAGAATTTAACCTCAATATTTGGAGAATGGTTGTTATTTTTATATCAACTATTTGCAAAGAAAAATTAGGAAATATAATATTAGTCCAGAACATTTAAGAAGGCAAAATCAGGCCACATGAGAAAACATCAGTCATTAAAATCGTAACTGCGAGCAGGACTACAATTTTCTGGGTTGCTGCCATTCTCATTTTTAAATTACATGCCTGTTTATCTTCAGAACATCTTCAGTTCTCAGCTCTGATAATAAACATTACATTTAACCTGCACTGGATATCCCTTTTGATCCTGTTTTTTGGTAAGAGTTACTAAGTGGTCAACAACTGAAATTATGAGCGCATCACTGTGAGGCAGTCACTAACTTCAGGTCTTGTCTCTCATTGAAAAGAAAATAAAAGAGAAAAGCTCACGTTTGGCTCTTTGTGAACACCATGACAGATAAGTACAAAGGATCTACTCTAATGACCACAGGCATCAGTGACAGTTTTCCTTTCCATTCCAAAGGGTGCCCTCTAGGAAGACAAAGGCAAAGAGACGGCCAGTTAAAGGTCCTGTAGTTGGGCTGACAGCAAACACCCTAAGCAAATACTTGGCCTGCAGTCCCTGGGCTGAACCAAAGCTCAAGTGGAAGTTTTCAAAACCAAGAGAAAGCTTCTAACTGACTCCAAAATTCTTTGTATCAGCCCAGAAAAGGGCAAGGGGAAATGGGTTTAAGTTGAAGGAGAACAGATTTAGATTAGATCTTAGGAAGAAATTCTTCAGTACGAGGGTGGTAAGACTTAGGAATAAATTGCCCAGAGAAGTTGTTGATTTCCCCTCCCTGAAGGTGTTCAAGGTCAAGTTAGACAGAGCCTTGAGTAGCTTGATCTATTGAGAGGCGTCCCTGCCCATGACAGGGAGGTTGGATTAGATGATCTCTAAGGCCCCTTCCAGCCTATGCCATTCTATGATTCTATGAAAAGTACAGCATCAAAATAATTGTAAAAAATATTTTTATCGTTACTCTTTCTGATTTTGATTTATTACTCCTCCTTTTCTATGGACTTGATTTTAATAACTGAACTGATTAAACGATACAAGTACCTAAATATAACCCAACACTTTCCATTCTCTGAGTCTTTAGTGTATCTCAAGATCAGCATCATATCCAGGAAGCTGATGCCAAAGAAAGAACAAATATGTTAGCAATTACATTATCATGTTTGCTAACATATTCTTTTTTCCTTAGCGGATAACCAGCATCCCAGGTTGAGAAACATAAGGAGCCTTTTCTGCAGCATTATCCTGAGTCAGAGCAAGGTCAGAACCGTGTGGGATGTGGCCCTCCCTGCCTGGCAATTCTATGGCCCTTGACTTGACACCCTTTGTTTAAGTCGGAGCCATATGGAGCAGCAGTTAACACTTCAGTATTTTTATCATTCCAGCGTGAGTCACTTCTTTAAAACGGGCAGTTGCTACACCGGTTAAATTATTACTGTTGACCTCATGCCCCAAGAAAATGCTGATAATGTGCCTTATATTTCCAAGTCCCTTCAACCTCTTACACCTCTGCTCTTTTTTTAATTGGACTGCTCAGTAAGGTTTGGAACTAGGAAACTGCTATCAAGCTAAAAAGGAAATTATCACATTAGAAGCAGGAGCCTGGGTCAAGTTCCCTTCAGTGTGCCCAGCCTGTTTACATCCTTTCCAGTAAAGCCTTCCAAAAAATGTGCCTCTATTAATATGTTACCACTGATAAGATTTTGAACCATTGCATTACAACAGCATTTTAGCGTTTGATATACATGAACTTCTTATCAAGTTAATCCCCACAGACTTTTATTCATTAAATTCTCCAACATAGATTTGATAACCAACAGCTGGGGATGCAGAATGAGAAAAAAAAAGTAGTATGTCTCTGGGGAGGAAAATAAAACAAAACCAGAGCCCTGCTTGTAAGAGAGCTCTGCCTGGATGGTTAGACGGACTGCAAAACTCCTGCTTGAGCTGTTCTGGCTTTTGACCATCACTACATTTAACTCAAATCTGAACACCTGTTTGTGTTCAGAAGATAGTTTCCTATGGGAAATTTCCGTCCTGGAAGAAGTACAAATTGACCCATCATCTTTAAGTGCATTAGAATTTCATTCAGCTTGTCTCAATGGTAAATGCATAATCATTCTCAGCTTGGTTTTCCTTATTTTCTTGCCTCAGGTGTATTCAACCATCTACACTTACCCTCTGTTCTGTAAGATAGACTAGCTGAAGAGAAAGGTCAGTGATAGATTCATGTTTTCTGAGTATGGGCATCTGAAAAAATAGACATCCTAGACTACATTTGTTTATATTACATCTACATAATTCACTGTAGTGATATGTGAACGCTTATAGAGCATCTTGAATTCTTTAAACCGGAAAAAGACTGACTATAAATTTTTCCCTATCCCCATTTCAAAAATTTCTTTTCTCCCTTGAATACTTGACTTCATGACCCTTCCAGCCCTTTCACCAAATTAATAATGCAGCCACCTGTACTGACCTTAACACATAATGATTTGTAAAAAACAGTTATGTTACAACTAACTGCAGATCTAATTGGTGCCATCAGCTTAATGATTGACTTCTTCCTGTATTGGTTAGAAAACTCCTGCGTGGACCTTAATGTTTTACTAAAAATTTCACTCCTTAAGACAGTTAGGGTTGTCACACATTCTTTTTTTATACTCTTTTAACTTCCTTATACTTCTTACCAATCTGTTAATTTATAACTATAGTTCTTTGCATCTCCCAAAGAGCACGGTCAAAGAAAAGGATTAAGCAGGCAGCACATGAGCTTCCTGGCCAAGCTGTTATCAGCTTACCTTGAAATTTAACCCCATGTGCCTCAGTTTGTCTGTCTGAAATTCTGTGCAATGACCTTGCCAACTTTCCTATTTCATGGAGACATTGTGAAGCATAAGCTAAAGAAACTTCATGAAGCTTCAATAGTATAAGTGACAATGAGGGACAGATCTTTTGGTTCCTCCTGGAAGACATCATAAAATCCTTTGCTGGGGTCTGGTGTTATATCCTCGATGGAGTTCAGAGGCTGTTTTTAGTGAGAATGAGTTCATAATTGGAAGCCAAGAAGGGAAAAAGACAAGGACATATTATACAGCTTTGCCTCCTACAAACACTTTAAAATCTTTGATCAAAATTTATGTCTTCAAACACTTGCTCTGATCTACTGCCTACTCCTGTAGGTGCCCGGGCTCCGGAGGCTCCTAAATTGCTAACAGTACAGCTTTGCTGCTGGGCACGTGTACAATCATTCCAGCTCTCACAGCACTAAGC